CCAGCTCCGCCTACTCCCCTCTGGCCCATGCTCCCACTCTCCATCCCTTTGACCTACCCTTCATGGACCCAGCTCCCTCCCCCCTTACCCCTCACGCACCCAGCCAATGCTGGTCCTATATATGGCCCCTGCTCCACCCCACCCCCATACCGTACACACCCTGCCACCCCCAACCCCCAACCCCCACCCCCACCCACGCACACCAACCCCCACCCCCACCCCCCAACGCACCCCGCCCCCCACTGAACCCATGGCTCCGGGCCGCATGGGGGCTCATGGTCCACGGCTCATGGATGTGGCTTCTCAGCTAACTTTAGGGCCCCAAGTGCATGCTGGGGCCGCCCGCTCCGCCCGCTCCGCTCGCTCCGCCCTCCGCCCTTCCAGCTCCGCCTACTCCCCTCTGGCCCATCCTCCCACTCTCCATCCCCTTGACCTACCCCTCATGAACCATGGCTCCTGGCCCCATGGCTCTTCATGGACCCATGGCTCCTGGTCCAATTCTTCAGGCTGCTCCACCCCCACCCGCAACCCCCACCCCCACCCCGCACGCACCCTGCCCCGCCGCCCGTGCTTGTCATGGGCCCCTTGCTCCTGGCGTCATGGCTCCACCCCCAACCCCAACCCCCACCCCCACACACCCCACCCTTTCCACACTTCCAACCCCCCCCGCCCCCCCACTGGACCCATGGCTCCTGGCCCCATTGCCTCCTGGTCCCATTCTTCATCCCTCGACCTGCATGGCTGCCAATGCTGGTCCTATTTTTGGCCCCTGCTCCACCCCCCCCCCCCTCACTGAACCCATGGCTCCTGGCCCCATTGGCTCATGGTCCACGGCTCATGGATGTGGCTTCTCAGCTGACTTTAAAGGGCCCCAGTGCATGCCCGGGCCCTCCGCCCGCTCCGCCCGCTCCGCCCGCTCCGCCCTCCGCCCTTCCAGCTGGCTCCCCATTCCTTGTGGTCCACAGCCCAAGCAGGTGGCTTCTCCGCCCCTACCCCCACCACCTCTACCCGCTCCGCAGACTCCCTCCCTTGCCCAAGCCCCCCACGCACCCCGCCATGCTTCTCATGGACCCATGGCTCCTCCTGGTCCCATTCTTCATCCCTCGACCTGCCTGCCAATGCTCCCCCCCTTGCCCAAGCCCCCCACGCACCCCGCCATGCTTCTCATGGACCCATGGCTCCTGGTCCCATGCTTCATCCCTCGACCTGTATGGCTGCCAAAACTGGTCCTTTTTTGGCCCCTGCTCCACCCCCACCCCCAACCCCCACCCCCACCCCGCATGCACCCTGCCACCCCCAACCCCCAACCCCCACCCCCACCCCCTCGCACCCACACTTCCAACCCCCACCCCCACCCCCCACGCACCCTGCCCCCCACTGGACCCATGGCTCCTGGCCCCATTGGCTCATGGTCCACGGCCCATGGATGTGGCTTCTCAGCTGACTTTAGGGGTTCGGGTTTGTGGTTTCGAGTTTGGGGTGTACGACGAGGCCTCAGGTTCAAGTCTCCTGGTTACGGGGGTTTAGGGTTTGGGGGTTTGGGGTTTCAGGGTTGCGGGTTTCGGGTTTGCGGTTTGCGGTTTTAGATTTGGGGTTTAGCCCCAACTCCCTGCGCATCAGGGCTCCATGTTTCGCCCCCCTGAACTCTACAACCTGACCAAGCCCTGCGCATATATCTGTATATATATATATATATACATAATCCGCGGCCGGAGCCCACAGTGCCTTGGCCCCCCTTGGAGGGGGTCGGCGGCACTGGCGGTAGCCATTAAATCGGGCAGCGCGAGGTCCCCAAAGGACCGAGCAAATGCGGACCTTTTAGCCCGGGTCGTCCCGGGAATAGCCTTGCTGGCCTCTGGCCTTCTGCGAAGCAGAATTAGGCCGGACGCCAGTGCCGCCGACCCCCGCGTGCCGCCGGTGAACGGTTTTTTTTCGTGGTTTTTTGCGTCGCCACGGAGGCCCCCAGAGGGCGCGCATCATGAGCATCAGCGGGTCCAGCCCGGGACCCCCAGGCGCGCATCAGGAGCATCAGCGGCTCCCGGGGCGGGACCCCGGGGGCGCATCAGGAGCATGATGCCCCCCAAAGGGCGGGCATAAGCGACGTGTCTAAGCCTGGGGCAGGAAAAAGGGAGTTTAGGGGCCTTATAAAGTGCTTAGAAACTTTAAGGGAGTCTAGGAGCCTCAAACGCTTAGAGATTTGAAGGGAGTTTAGGGGCCTGAAAATGCTTGGAAACTTTGAGGGGGTTGAGGAGCCTCAAACGCTTAGAGATTTTAAGGGAGTTTAGGGGCCTCAAAATGCTTAGAAACTGCTCGCCCCGCGCTTCTGCCTGCGCTGCCCGCCCATGGGCGCAGCCCCTTAAAAAAAATAAAATTGTATTTATTTTTATATTTGTATATGTGTATATATATATAAGGGCCGTACCAGTTACTAGGAGAAATCTAGGGAACCTCTGAGGGTTGCATCCTTGGGTGTCCGAAGATGACTCCCACGGCGCGTGGGAGAGCTCATGACAAGCCGGCCCTAAAGCCTAAAGCCTAAAGCCTAAAGCCTAAAGCCTAAAGCCTAAAGCCTAAAGCCTAAAGCCTAAAGCCTAAAGCCTAAAGCCTAAGCCCTAAGCCCTAAACCCTAACTGTTTTCATGCCGAAGCTAGGGGCGCCACCCTCGCAGGCACTCTTTATTCTTGCGACTGTGGGTTCGAAAGTTTAGGGCTTGGGGGCGTACGTGGAGGTTCATTCGAGTAGTTAAAAGGAGGGCTAGCAGTGCCCTAAAAGGTTTAGGGTTTAGGGTTTAGGGTTTAGGGTAAAAGGGTTCGATGTATGGTAGTTGCAAGTAAGGTTGGAAGTATCGCAAGCATACTTCTGACCCTACTTGGCGTACTTGTCACCCTACCTACAACCACCCACAAACCTCCGGGTAGCCCGACACGTTTGGAGAACAAGCTAAAGGACACTACCCTTCAGGGGTCTAGCGCGCTTTCTTTCTTTGGGGGGGGGGGGGGGGGTACTATACCGTTTACCCTTTAGGGGTTTAGGGCGCTTTCTTTCTTGGGGGTTCTGGGACCAAACTTCCCACTTCGGCTTTTTCGCGGTGAGGCCTCCCAGGGTTGATCCAGGAATGAGTCGGGAGCTGTTGGTCGCGATGTCAGGAGCACCTCGGATGCTCCACCCATTGCTCAAAGAGGCCCAGACTCCCTGAATAAGGCAGGAAAGGAGGCCGAGACCCCTTAAGGAATGCGCCGTATAATCAGAATAGGGTTGTGGCGGAAACGCCCTTCGTCGCGTATTCCCTCCCACGACCACAAACCCTTTGTCGCGGCGGGGTGTTTCAAACCCTTGTCGCGCCTTGTCGAGCTGCCGTCGGGTTCAAGAATTAGGGATGTAATTGCCCTAAGATAAAACCTAAACCCTCAACCCGACGGCAAGGGTTTAGGATGCTACGCCTATAAGGGGATCATGGGCCAGCCCCGTTGTGACGGTACTCTTGCAGTGTATGATTTGAAGTTCAGGACGAAGCCCTAAACCCTAAACCCTAAACCCTAAACCCTAAACCCTAAACCCTAAACCCTAAACCCTAAGCCAACAAACCGGATCTGACATACCAATCCCCCTCCCCCCTCCCCCAGTTGCTGAGTACCCTGGGCCGAAAAAGGTTAACCGTTAACCTCTCAATTATGGTAGGATTATATGTACCCCAAACGGTTAAAGGCTACAGGTGCCTACTCAGCTACTAAGCTCCCCCGAAACAGGCCCACAAACAGCTTAAGTGCTGTTTCTTGGGTTAATTCAGCGGCAATTCGGGTATGGGACCCCAGCCCCAAAACCCTTAACCCTAAACCCCTAAACCCTAAACCCCTAACCCCTAAACCCCTAAACCCCTGAACCCGTAAACCCCAAAGCCCTAAACACCCTAAACCGTAAGCCCAAACCCCTGAACCCTGTCAACCCTGAACCCTAGACCCCTAACTAAACTCTTAAACCCTCGCTCCCTTTTTGATTAACCCTGAACCCTAAAACCCCTCAACGCTAAGCCCGAAACCCCTAAACCCATAAACCCCCAAACCCCACAGGCCCTGAACCCTGAACCCTAGCACCTAAACCCCCCAAAAAGGGAATAAGGGCACTACTGGGCATCCTAGTTAAAGCCCCTGAACCCCTAAAGGCCCTAAACCCTGAACCCTAGCAGACTGAATCGCTGCTGGGCCACGGCTTTGGCAGTCCCACCTTCGCTCAGCCACTGCGCGGCCCAGCGAGCCACATCGGCCGCATGCTCGCCTCAGGGTTTAGGGTTTAGGGTTTAGGGTTTAGGGTTTAGGGTTTAGGGTTTAGGGTTTAGGGATCAGGGTTTAAGGAAGTTAAAGCCTACATTCCTTAATGGGGGGGGGGAAGGGTGGGCAGTGGGGTAGTGAGCTCCTAAAGGTGTACAAGTACCAACCTTGGGGATCTGAAGTCCAAAACATGGCGGCTATTCAAAAGGCTTTCTTCCCAAAATTAGGCGAAGGGCGTGGGCCCCAACACGCCCTAAGGCCTACACCAAACCCAAAAAGACCTGGGTTTAGGGGAGCAGACATGGGGTTTAGGGTTTAGGGTTAAGTTGGAGTCCCGGTCCGACATCAAACCAGGACAAGCAGAGTACGCCTTCGTCTTCATGAGGTCTATAAGGGGAACCCTCGATTTAAAAGGGGAAGGCAGGCCCACTACTGGGGTCCTTTTCAATTCCTTTGAACCTGCGTGCCCGACGCACCTTTAATTTAAAACCGTATGGAACTACTTGCAATATGATTCCCTAAAACCCATGTACCTATGTAGTTGGGCCTTAAAGGGGTTCCCACAGAGTAGCTTGAGGGCCCAAGTATATACTATATAGGTACATGGACACTTAGGGATTTCAGGAACACCAATCTCTTGACTAAGCTCCGTTGGAAGATCTAGGCCAAGCCGTCCTCCAACCAAACCCGCTTTAGCACCTCTAAAGCCACGAAACACCCAAACCCTCCAAGCCACATAAGCCTTCACACCTTTCAAGCCCGCCCAAACCCAAAACCCTATATAAACCCCAAACCGCAAAGCCAACACACCCCTGAAGCCCCATTGCCCGCCAAGACACAGAACGCCCTAAACCCGAAGCCCTGAGGCCCGAAACCCTCGACCCGAAATCCTCAAAGCCTTTAAGCCCTCAGCCCCTAAACGCCCCCGCCGCTCTGGATCCGACACCAAGCCCTTTCTCCCTCAATCCCAAGTCCCAAACCCTAAATCGAAACCCTATAGGACCCATTCAACCCTAATGTTGCACCCGCAGTATTCTAGGGGGCCGCTATTATGAAAAGTTTTCCGGCTATTCAGGATCTGGACCCTCTCTGTTTTGGGGGTCCGCAATAATAAAAAGATTTCGGGCCGGGCCTGTTTTTTTAATGGTTTTTGAGTCAAGTTCTTAGTTTGGGATCTGGTTCCAAAACCCTGAAGAGAGCTCATTTCTCTGCCCCCCCCCCCACCCCCCCCGACTGTTTGGGGTCTTTTATTCAGGGTCGCGACTGTTGAGGGGGGGGGGGGGGGTTACATTATTAAAGCAGGTCCAACATTAACCCTAAACCCTAAACCCTAAACCCTAAACTCTAAACCCTCAACCCTCAACCCTAACCCTAAACAACTTGCACAGTGCCCACCTGCACGTTCAAGGCCCTCGAGCAGCAGCACCACCCCAAAGAAGTGGGGCTGCAACTCCCCCACACACAGCGGCGTTCCAAGCTCCTCCCAAGGGCTTCGGCTATGAGAGGGTTTAGGGTTTAGGGTTTGTTTAGGGTTTAGGGTCTAGGGTCTAGGGTCTAGGGTCTAGGGTCTAGGGTCTAGGGTCTAGGGTCTAGGGTCTAGGGTTTAGGGTTTAGGGTTTAGGGTTTAGGGTTTAGGGTTTAGGGTTCAGGGTGGCTTCAGAGCTTCGACTCTCTCACACCGGCTTGTGTGGGCGAGGCTCTGAGTCAGCTTACTGGTTCTTAGTAGGGAATGAGGGAATGAGGTATCCTATGAAGTCCTTTTTTTTTTTTTTGGGGGGGGGGGGGGTATATATGTAAATATATATATATATACATATCTATATATATATATATATGTATGTATATATAAGGTACCTCATGCCTTCATTCCCTACGAAGAACCAGGGGGTCAAGAGTTCCGGTGAAAGGTAGCCCGCTCAGCACACCGCAGGACAGCAACGCAGGATATGACATAATATGCAACAGTTATGCAACCCATCCTGCATGCAGCCTGCGATCCGCTTTCTATCATCTGTCTAGTTGGTATCGAAGGCGGTCAGCAGTGCCAACATGTTTTCTGCCCGGTCAAGCAGGTGCATTCTGGTGAGTGAAACGCCTGACGGGCCAGCACTGGGGCCAACGCGGACAAACGAAGCTTGAGATTGGATCAACCAAAAAGGGTGCCCTTTTTGGAAGGCATAAGGGAACCTGAACCCTAAAAAAACGGGGAGTTAAGGGCCTACTCTAGGCAGATTCGGGGTGCAACTGCTCCGACCCCCAAGCTCCCTGTTTCGGTGGGACTCCTTGGGCCTGCTTTCAAATAACTTATGCAAATCGGAATTGGATCATGTTAGATGATGAGATATCGATCATGGGCAGCTCCCAAGAAGTCATCTACACTCTCGTGTCTGCACTCCCTTGAGGAGCTGGGCATCTTTGAGTGAAACGAACTCGCATAAAGAGGCCGTGGCCCTCTATCCCTCAGAAGGATTTCGCGTACACCTCTTGTTGCACACGGCTTATGCTGGCATGACCACTTCGGTGGCCAGCTGCGCACCCATCCAGGCAAGGTGCGTGTCGGCGCCCGGGAGCTGCCGCAGCATCTCCATGTCCTCGAGGGGCACCTCCTCGTGTCCGCGCAGCCAGAAGCCACGGCCGCTACCGTCCACGCGTAGAGACGAGTCTGTCGACTGCAGCGTCACACCTCCATCCGGCGTCTTCCAGGTCACCGCTACTCGAAGAGAGTGCCTCAGCTGTCCCTCTTCGAAGACGACGTTGTCCACCTGGCGTAGCTCCTGCAAACTGAGCTCGGGGAACTGCCACAACGGCCGCAGCGCGATGGCCGAAGCTGCTGCGGCCATCGAGGCTGGGGGCGCCGCCACCTCACCGGCGGAACCGAAGGACAGGCTCCTAGTGGGCGCGAATGCGATGGCCGCGAGTATGCAGAACACGGCGAGCCCTACCAAGCAGGCCACGGTGATCTGGCAAAGGCACCGTGGGAGAACCTCGCGCCAGGCACGGCCCAGCAGCACCTGCGAGAGCGTGGAGGCCTGTTTGAGCTGGTATCGGACCAGGGCCCCTAGCACCTCGTCGTCCTCGAAGCACAGCCTCTCGCAGCTTTCCACGGTCTTTGTGGACGGACCCAGCCAAAACTCGCCGACTTCGACCGTGTCCAAGATCTCGGCAGCCCTCGCAGCCCACCTCAGCTCCGCATCGATCGCCTCGCGGCAACGAGCCTGGAAGCGCCGCTCCAGCCAGGCCTCTAGGCCATCGAGGCGGCGATCTGCACGGCAGCGGAGGTCCTCCAAGCCGCGGCCCGCACGGGCTCTCTGACGGTACAGCCACCCACGCTGTATTTCCTCCGCGTCTCGAGCCTGGACATCTGCGCGGTCGCCCGCGGCGACGAGGTCGAAGTCGCGCCCGGAGCCAGCCAAGACCTCCTCACAGTCCTCCTTGCTGGGCTCCTCTGCAGCTGCGGGAGACTCCGCCGTCGCAAGCGTCTCTGTAGGCGGAACAGCCGAAGCCTCAGCGCTGTCCTCCATGTCCATACCCAAAGCCAGCAAAAGTCCACGGCATGTCACCTTGTCAAGCTATGATCCGCAGAACAAGCTGTGTTTGGGCCCGGTGCGGTCAATGATACATGGACGCTGTAGAGCAGATGACTCTCCTAACCGAAATTCAGGGTATTGCCTGAGTTGTCAGACTTCACAATATAAGGCTATTCACAACTGTTAGTGGGGCCCACCCCCTTGTGAGGTATAGGGTTAGGGTTTAGGATGTCTGGGCTAGAAGGGGTTCTTAGTGTGGATTTTTGAAGCTTTAAGCGGTCTCGAGGGGTCCTGAAGCTAAGTCTGTAAAGATACTTGGAGGTTCATGGGTAGAAACAAGCAGGACTGTACGTATCTTAAATAGGGTTATAAGTACAGGTACCAGCCACCCAGGTTCCCCGGAAGCCCCGTACCTTCTGTGCTTGGCCTTTGGAACTTCTGCCTCTAAGCTTGGGGTTTTAGGATGTTTGGTTTATTGAGTTTGTTGCGCTCTCCCTCTGGCCCCCTTGCTTGCGTACTTCTAGAAGGACTGGGCTTGTCTATGCGAGGCCGCTTCTCCAGAATGGCTCAATGCTACTGCGTGGATACCTGTCGTGCTTTGGGTCGGGTTAAGTCGGCATTCCAGTTCATGGCCTGTCTGCCCATACTGCTTTTGACAGACGGCCGTGGTTTTCGGCGGGCTTTCTCAAGAGCTCAGCAGCTTTTGCTTGCCCCAATTTTGAAGCCCCTGTTGGCTATTCGAAGCCTGAAAGGATAGAGCGTCTTTTTCATTATCCGGTCAGAAGTCACAATCGCGACCCTTTTTGCAACCGGGGCCCTTTTGCTTAGCAGGGGCTGCCATGAACATTGCCCCGATCCCTCAGAAGCGCGAAACCCTCAATCTTCTTAGTGTTCCCAAAGAGCCCAATACCCCTTAATTCAAGGATCTACCTTAAATCCTACGATCTACATCATACGAAGGATCCGTGTATGGTTTAATAGGTGTATTCCTGAATTAGGATGGAACTGTTAGGTGTATTCGTGAAATAAGGGCGTGGGAATTGTTAGGCTCTTAGTATTCGTGCCTCTGTCAGCCACTGGCCGAGGAGATCAGCGCGCGAGGAATCTCCACCTGAGGTTCGCCCAAGGGCTGTCGGAACTTCCGCCCTAAACTCTTTTGAACCTGGAAGCTGCTTCTAAACCCTAAGGGTGGCCCTTAAACCCTCTCAAAGATGTTCCCACCATATTGTAGTAAGGCACCCTTTTTGGGGTTGGTTTCTTTATACGGGAACCTGGAACCTGAAAAAGGGGCCAACGTGTACCTCACCAAGTAAAGGCTTCGGCTAGGCCCTCATACAGAAGTAGCGGATTAATGGGAAATAAGAGGCCTCTTGCAACGATAGCCGAGTTCTCTCTCGTCTACAGAATGTCCATACAAGGGTGGTATGTAACTTCAGTCTAGTATGTCTATAGGAAATGTATAAATTCATGCGTCCTCCATGCCTGAGACACAGTGCGAGATGGCTGCCTACACCTTACTTGGAGTTTCATGGGTAGTTCTACGTAGGGTTTAAAAGTGCCCCAAACAGGGTTAGACCCTTGTTGCCTCCTCCCTGGCTGAACTGACGTCCACTTTAGGGGTTTCCTCGGCGCTGTCTCTGAAGGGGTTTAGGGTTTCGGGTTTCGTGCTTTCGTATTTAGGAAGCAGTCTGGGCTGCACATGGGCCTTTGCCTTGATTAAGGGGACTAATCCCTAGAAATTCCGCACCAATCCTCCCGGACTACCAGAAGGCTCACTTCCCGCGCGGAGGAGGGACGAGGTTCGGGGATCAAAGTGTCTGTACCCGAAATTCCCTCTGTATCCCGATTCGAACCATTCACAGGCTTTAGGGCCTTTATGGAGGATCGGGTCCCAGGGTGCTTTTGCTACCTACCTTAGGGGTTTGGGGTTTGGGGCTTAGGGGTTGAGGGTACATTGCCAGCCAGCTTGCCAGCAGTGATCAAGCTGGCGAGAATGTCGCAGCTTGCCTACTTGGAGGCTCATCTACCAGTTGCTTAAGACCCCCAAAAAAATAAAAAACTCTCTTCCTTATAGCAGTAAAATAGGAATTCTTCGTTTTTGTTTAATTGCAAATAGTAGTCACGGGCAGTTTTAAATTTTAAGTAGGGTTATAAGCATGGCATCGGGGACATAGAAGCCTACCTACAAGCGCCCATGAACCTCCATGTACCACAGCTGGGACATGTGCACAATTCGTGTGTCTTCGTCTTGTCTTTTGCTATTATTATTATTATGATTGTTTTTATTCTGTATTCTTATTATTACTATTGCTATTATCGTCATTTTATCATGATTCTGAGTTTTTTTCGGGGGGGGGGGGGGGGGTAGTTCCGGGTCAAGTGTTGCAGGGAGTAGAAGCCAATTGAGGGGGCATAGTAGCTTGGCAATAGCAGGTCCCGAACACAGTCTGAGGGTGGTTACATGGTCCCTTAGGATGGGCCCCTACAAGGGTCCCATACTTCAGAACCCTTTAAAACACGAGGATGGCCCTTAAAAGCCCTCTGAAAAGTTCCTGAATCCGATCCTCTTAAAAGGGTTTAGGGTCTTAAGCCCTATCAGGGAACATATCAAACATCCGGAGAGCCTACCTAGATTACTCCAAATCAACCTTCAGACATAGCAAGGAGCTCTGACAAAGTCTAGATCCTCAGAGCTTCCCCTAAACCCTAAACCCTGAGAGCTCCCTACAAAACCCTAAATCCCTGATCCCTAAACATAAGACAAGGTTCTTGCAAACCAGAGACGAATGATAATTAGTGGGTTTCCGGGGTTCCCAAAGAGCCCAAAACCCCTTAAGTAAGGAATATCCCTTGAATCATACTAAGGATCCCCCCTTTATAGTTTTACAAGGGTTTAGGGTTTAGGGCCTGTTCCTGAATTAAGGAGTTTTGGGTAGCACAGGCCTACAAAAGCTGGCGCCCGCCTGGATGGGGAGCCACGGGCCCTCCTCGGGTTTGCCACTGCCCTTGCGGCAGCGAGCAGTGGGCCCTAATTTCGGGTTCTTGTTCGGGTTCCTCATGGCCTGCATGATAATAGGATGCGCAATAAAAGGGACACTGACTTACAGAACCAGCCACTTCAAGGAGTTTGGGGTAGAGGGTTTAGGGCTCAGGGTTCGGGATGTTGTTCCATAGCAACGGTTTTTTGGGCAAATCCTTGTTGCATCAGGCTTTGGGTAAACCCCAAGCCCTGAACCCTTTTTGGTTCCGAACCGACCCACAGCTCGAACCCATAGCAAACCGTATCCCTAAACCCTAAAAAACATCTTCTTGACTTCTAGCCCTACGCACCTGCATTGCAATTATGATATGGGGCCGGGGGGGGGGGGGGGGGTGAGAATCGTGTTCAATCGGTTCTGTATGGATATGTAGAGCTATGTTATGCATGTATGTATATGTGCATTGTGTATAAATAAATAAATAAATATATATATATTTATATATATATATGTGTGTGTGTGTGTGTCTCTGTGCATTTGTTTATATATATATATACAGATATATTTTATATCATTCTCTTAAGCCAACCAGACCCCCCGCTTGAAGGCCTCTGCGAGCCTGGCCAGCAAGTGCCTTGCCGGTGACACGACCGGGGGGGGGGGGGGTAATCCCTCAACCCTCCACCCTTCTGCAACGCCGTGATGCCAAATCGATGCCCAAACGCAGCCACCACGTGACACGGACGCTTGCGAACACTGACATGACGATTCATGGTCAACACCGGGGCCCCAGAACCCCAACCCTTGAAACGCGAACCCTTTGCCATGCATTTGGCGAAAATTCTGATCCTCTGGACAAACGAGCCAGACGACAACAACTTCACACAAACATCATTCCCCAACTTGGAGGTTCGTGGGTAGTGACAAGTAGGGTTAAACGTACCCTAAATAGGGGGATGAGTAGAATTACCATACTTCAACCCTACTTATATTAGAAGTAGAGTACCCTAAACCCTAAACCCTATTATAAACCCTAAACCCTAAATACCATGCTTAGAACCCGACTTATAAATCCCTACTTATAAACCCTAAATAGGGTTCTGAGTAGAATTACCATACTTCGAACCCTACTTATAACTACCCTGATCGCGACGCGCCTGGCCAACATTCCCCGGCCACTGCCGGGCCGGCCCTCCAGCAGCAGGCACCGGCCTATAACATGAGGGTTCATTCGGGTGTTTAGGGCTTAGGGCTTGGGGCTTAGGGCTTAGGGTTTAGGGTTTAGGGGGTAGGTATAAGGAGGGTTCTAAGTGCCCTAGATAAGGGTTACATGTATGGTAGTCATTAAGTAGGGTTCATGAGTATGGGTAACCCTTTTCTGATAACTCTGTTTGGGGTGCTTATAAGCCTCTGTGAACCTCCAAGTAAGGGCTCTTCATGAATCGGCCCCTTATACTTCTCGAAAAGAATCAGCTGGTCAGAATTTCCAAAGAGACTCGCATATCTACGGGTTGATGCTTAGTGTTAGTTAAACACCGGCATATCTTCAGTAGTACGATGCATCGAAACCTAGGACTCAAACTAGCGTGAATGTTCCTTCAAAGCATGCGCGCCAGCTCGGGGCAAAATGCGTGCTGAGGAACACGGACGCCCATTACGCAAGCCCAAACCCTCTGTATACACAATGACCCAAGGGCCTAGCTACACATATAGGTACAGTTCTACTACAGTAGGAACTTTTCGAGGCCCTGTCCACTCACTAAGCCCTAAACCCTAAGCCCCAAGCCCCAAGCCCTAAGCCCTAAGCCCTAATCCTAAACCCTAAACCCTAAACCCCAAACCCCAAACCCCAAGCCCTAAGCCCTAAGCCCTAATCCTAAACCCTAAACCCTAAACCCTAAACCCCAAACCCCAAACCCCTCACCTGAGCCGCTCCACAGCGAGGCAAGGATCTCGTTGACCTTGACCGCGCCGCTGCCGACGGTGTGGCTCCTGCATTTCGCTTAGTTTAGGGTTTAGGGTTTAGGCCTTTTTGCAACGACTCTGCCAGGAAGGGCCCTAGGACACATGGTTAGCAAACGAGATGTGCTCTCCAGCCAAGGTTCATGAGAAACCCGAAACCCTGCAAGCCCTAAACCCTGCTTACCCTGAAACCCTTCCAGACCGAAACCCGAAGCGTCTTTTGAACTCTCACAAGCCACAAGTGAGGGGTTTAGGGTTTAGGGTTTAGGGTTTAGGGTTTAGGGTTTAGGGTTTAGGGTTTAGGGTTTAGGGTTTAGGGTTTAGGGTTTAGGCGTAAAGTGCCTCGAGGTCATCCGGGACATTGCTTGAGCCCAAGTCTCACGGAGCGCGCCACCTGCTATGGGGGTGGTTTGCAACTTGTCAAAGATGGACGAACCCCTCAGCAGCTAAATTACAAAACCCTAAACTTCCATTTGCTTAAGAACCCATATTGCAAAACCCGACGTAAACCCTAAACCCTAAATCCTAAACCCTACACCTCCAAAACGAAAAAACATCTACAGGGAGCCTGCAACAATAGTCCCAGGAACAAGCGGGATGTCCGGGAAAGAATCTCGTAAGAAAAGTAAGATACCCGAAAGGCACGAAGGCCCCAAACCCTAAACCTTAAACCCTAAACTCCCAAACCCCTCAGAACCCCTCAGACCCCCCAGATGGCTCTGGCACGCCCCCCACCTTTCAGGCGCAGCTCGCGCTGGCCAAAGAGGTCCGGCACCACCGGGGCCGTGTCGCCAAGACACAGCAGCTGCCCTGAGAGGGAGCGAAAGACTTGTTTGGTTTTAAGGGGTTTGGGGTTTAGGGCTAGGGTTTAGGGTTTGGGGTTTAGGGTTTGGGGTTTAGGCTAGCAAGGAATATACCTTTAGCCTTCTGCAAACTTGGTCCTACATCCGAACCGTGGTGTTCAATTCATGTGCTGTCCAGGGCCCTTATTGGAATACTTATCGTGAGTTCATGGCACTCCCCGACGTTCCTGCACTTGAAAATGCCGCGCCCCAAGCTGCACAGCAAATATGGGCACGTTTGTGGTAGAAGAGGCGCCCCGCTCGCTGGGGATGCGAAATGATTGCTAGTATCATTTTGCCACCACCAATATCACCCAATACCATGTTATGAGTGATGCGGCAATGTGCCTTACTGTATTATTCGGATGCGCATGTTCCTGCTTGGGATGTCCCCCCCCTTATACGAACAGTCTTCATAGGGACTATCGTACCCTATAAGAAGAAGGGTTAAAGTACCCCTATTATAATCCCGATGAAGGACTGTTAGTATAAGGGGGACCATCCCAAGTTCCTTCAGCAATCCTTAGAAGCCTCTTCGAAGAATTCCGGGGCCCCACCTGCCAAAGCCACCAGCGGGGGCCGCAATGCCTTTTGGGGGGGGGCAAGAGTTTGCTTAAGAACCCCCCTCCCCTCAAAACAAAAAAAAAACCTTGCTTATAACGGCAACAGAGGGCTTTCTTCTTTTACTTTTTGAGGGGTTCTTAAGCAAATTGCGACTTGTAGCTCAGGTTTGATGTTGACGGTCCAGCTTGATGCTTTAAGGTTCTCTTGCAGGCTTTTCGCTGCCTGTTCGGCTTTCATGTTGTGGTACAAGCCATTGTGGCCCTCAACCCTAGGGCCCCTAAACCCTAAACCCTAAACCCTAAACCCTAAAACCTTAACCCTAAGCCTATAAACCCTAAACCCTAAACCCTAAACCCTTCCCGCGTAAAACCCGGATGATAGCCCGGGACACAGGGTCTCTTTGCAGCATGTGTTTTTTTTAAAGTTCTTTGGGAAGCCTTGCTCCCTATACAGCCCATGCGAGCCGCAATGCTGTTTAGGGTTTAGGCTGCAGGGCTTAGGGTTCAGGGGGCCCCACCCCCGAAAGCCGCCATCAAGGAATGAGGCTTAGATTTCATCAAGATGGGTTAGGGTTTAGGGTTTAGGGTTTAGGTTTTAGGGTTCAGGGTTCAGGGTTCAGGGTTCAGGGTTTAGGGTTTAGGGTTTAGGGTTGGTTGAGGGTTTGGGGTTTGGGGTTTAGGGCTTAGGGTTCAGGGTTTAGGGTTTAAGGTCGGTTCAGGGTTTGGGGTTTTAGGGCAATTCCGGGCTATTCCTCCCACGCAGCCCTGACTGTCAGCTGTCGGGGTCTATTCCGTCATGACGGGCGATTGGTCTCTCTAAGAGACCCGACAAGGGTTCGGCCCTAAACCTTAAATCCTACACCCTAAACCCTAAACCCTAAACCAAAAAAAAAACAAACCACCGAAAAAAGGATCCCGAAGAGTAGCCTGCAAGCCACCACGGCGTGCGAGGAGGGACATCAGCCTCGCGCTTCGGTTTAGGGTTTAGGGTTTAGGGTTTAGGGTTTAGGGTTTAGGGTTTAGGGTTTAGGGTTTAGGGTTTAGGGTTTAGGGTTTAGGGTTTAGGGTTTAGGGCGCTCATGAGGTTCTGCCTTGGACCCCTAAGCTTGTACCCTCGGGTTTGGGGATCCTCTAAGGGAGTATATACGGGCCATATTAAGAACATTTTAAGGGAAACCTCTTAGGGGTGCATTCTTGGGGGTCCGAGTATGACTCCCTTGATCCTGAGATTCATTTGCCCTTAAGGGTCCATTCTATACTTGGGCCCCCAAAAGTCCCTCTAAGCGAAGTACCCAGACAGCCAAATACCCCTTTTCAATTAAGGAGTATACCTCAAAGCCATATATATATATATATAGATATATATATATATATATATTATTTATTTATTTATTTATATCTATTTACATATTTACTTATTTGTGTATATAAGGGCCCTTAGTATGACCTAAGGTACATTTCCTAATTACCCTTACATTAAAACCTGAACCCAACTTAAGGGGAATTCTTGGGGCTCTTTGGATACTTTGAGGAAGTATTCCCTATTTACGTACATGGGGTCCTCAGGGTTTAGGGTTTAACTATGCCGCAAGGGTACTTGCAGCCCTACTTTTTCACAACCCAACCGAACCCCGATGTGGGGTTTTCGCCGGAACCCTAAACCGTAAGCCCTAAATCCCAGACCCTAAACCCTTTGTGAGCACGGACTGAGGAAGCAGCAACCTGACCCCAGAGACTTCCCTCGTTCTCATACAAGCAGGGGATGCAATCACACGTGTGACCTAGTACTGCTCAACCCTACACCCTAAAACCCTAAACCCTAAGCCCGGATTCCGCATTGAGGGAGCTTGGGCACCCTAAACCCCAAACCCCAAACCCTAAACCCCAAACCCCAAACCCCAAACCCTAAACCCTAAACCGATCTGCGGCGAGGAGCCGTTCGCAGTCCTCGTCCCTGGCGAAGCGCGCGTCGCTCGGGCGACTTGCCAGAAGCCTTCGGGCGAAGCCCTCAAGGTTCAAGCTTTAAGGTTTAGGGTTTAGGGATAGGGTTTAGGGCTTAGGGTTTCGGGTTAGTTTTGGGCTTAGGGCTTAGGGTTTAGGAACTCTCATGAGTTAGGATTTTACCAGCAGTCCTTAGTGGGATTGTAATATGGGGTACTATACTCCGTATTAAGGACTGTTAGAAAAGGCGTGTTCTCCTAAAATGCACAGGGCACTAGATGTTCTCCTAAAATGCACAGGGAACTGACCATATGCAAGCCAGCCCCGCACCCTGAACTATTCACCCCGAGCTTCTTCTAAACCCTTTCCCCTTTTGCCTTTAACCCTATCAACCCCCCAAAATCTAAATATTCAAACCCTAGAACCCTAAGACCCTCAAACCCAAAAACCAAAAAAGCCCTGAAACCCCCGAAACCCTGCCACTTTAAACCCCTGAACCCTAGACCCCTACAACCTGCACCCCAAAACCTGCTGGGGCCTGCCTCCGGGCGACGACTCTCGATTCGGCAGCCATTGGCCTGCGGCCCAAGACGCCTCGTGCCCGGGCTTCAGGCTAGGGGGCCTATTGAATCCTTGTAAGGAAGATCTGTTGAAAGATAAGGGGGGTTCTTAAGCAAATTTTGGGTAAAGCGGAAAAAGGTCCTGCGCGTCGAACGTAAAACAACAGTGACTTGTACACTCGGTGAATGAAGTTATAGTGACACAACATGCTGCAGGTGTTTGGGACAGCTCAAGATTTGACCTATGTGGGGATTATAATGAACCCAGCTTTGTCGGAAATGAAACAAGCATCTTGTGCGCCCTAAACCGATGCCACGGGGTTTGGCGATAGGCATCAGGGCTCTCGAGCTTGAAGGTGTTTTGAGGGCAGGGTCAGGACTTAGGGTTTAGGGCTGTTTTGGAACATTTCTCGATTTGCCATTTATCCGGGTTTAGGGTTTAGCGAGATTCTCCAACTTTGTCATCTTCTCGCCCAAAACCCGAGCGAATCTCGCCTCGAGCCGAACAGACGTCTACCGGCAAGCTGGCGTCGGTGGCCACGAGCAGCCTGAAGTGGTGGGGTGGTTGGCTTTGGGAGGTCGAGATGGTTTTGAAGTACGCCCTAGACCCCTTGTAAGCCCTTTTTAGCAACCCCGTTTTTTGCATCCAGGCCTAAGCCCCCCAACACCCTTAAAACACTCACCCTCAACCCTAACCTCTCGCAAAAAAACCCTAAACCTCACAATTTGTCTATACCGTCTATACCCCATTGATTAAAACCAACCCCCTAAATCCTGAACCCAAAACCCTAAATCCTAAAAACCACAGACCCCAAGAAAGCCCCTGCGGAGCTTGACCCCAAGGCGCTCGTACAAACACCACAACCTCGTTGGCCAGCTGCCAGCCTCCCCCAGCACCTCGGCGGAGCTTCACAGTTTGGGATTTAGGGTTAGGGTTTTGGGTTTTGGGTTTAGGGTGTAGCGTTAGGGTTTGTGTTTTTAGCTACAGTACTTTAGGGTTTAGGGTTTGGGGTGGGGGGGGGGGGGGGGGGGGCGGCGAACCTGAGCCCTTTTTGCACAAAGGCTCCCCCGGGCCAGTCCCCGAAAACAAGCTGAATGCGAAAAAGCCCTTCCAAACCTAAACCAAAATTCGGGGGCTATGCATCCGACCTGCATCAACCATAATGCAGGGCTACGTGTTGAGTCTGACTGTGTAGCCAGTACGTTGAAGCAGCACGTCTGAGATCTTGCAATTGGAGAACTCGGAACCACAGGGCTACTTCTCCTTCTTAACAGCTTTTACTTTGGCCTTTGTTCATTGGGGTCTTATTCGGAAAAGTGGTGCGGCGGCGAGGCCCTTAGATGACACTTACAAGGGTGTCGCATCCTGGCGACTGGAAGGTTTGCAACTTCGATGTACCTAGAGAAGCCAATGCCCCTGAGCTAAGGAACGCTTGTACCCACAAACTATGTATGG